TTCTGGGTAATCCCCAGATGTCGAGGAATTGATCCTCTTGTCTTGTGAACGGTGGATGCGTGTGTACAATTTCCTCAGTTGATTTCCGACCTGTGTACCCTTGTTATTTTTCGCACCTTCCACAGTGAATGTATGTGTACAATTTCCTCGGTTGATTTCCGACCTGTGTACCCTTGTCATTTTTCGCACCTTCCACAGTGAATGTATGTATGGAAATACTCGCTTTTTTGAATTGATTAGGCGCCGCACTCAACGGGATTTTGTTCGAGAATGCAAGAGTGTTTACATCTGTAGTTCTGAATGCACTGCGCATGCCATCTGCCTTATGCTGCACGACATCTGCAGCCGATCTACAAAGCAGCCTCGAGAAATAAGGCGCCTGGGATCAACACCGCGGTGGCTTACGGAAACCTGAGTCGAGGGTCGGTCCCTCAGTTACATGGATGATCGAGCTGATGAGTGCTTTCTCTCTCTCTCTCTCTCTCTCTCTCTCTCTCTCTCTCTCTCTCTCTCTCTCTCTCTCGTGTCGAAAAGGATTGATTGGTGATTGCGCGAGTGTTTTCTCTTGATGACGTCTCAGAATTTTTGCAATTGATTGACATGTGGACTGACAAGCACCCTTCGATCGGGCGCCAGCCTCCCGTACCTCCCGTATCAACACAACGTTTTCCCTACAACGAGGAAAGGACACGTGTATGCGAGTGGGACGTACGAGAAACTGTCGCACAGATCGGCGGACGATACTACTTCCCTCCGGCAAACCGTTGTTCAGGGTTCGTAGAGGCCGGGTTTGTCATCATCGATACGTATTTTCCACCCTACTCGATATTGCTCCCCTTTAACGAGCTGATAGTCATTCCGTGGACAGAAGTGGCGCCCCATTGGCCTCGAACCCTGTGCACAGAGTGCCAGCGTTTCGATCGCTATGAAGCAAAGGGCTTCCACTACTGAATACGGAGTGAAGCCGATCATAAGGAAAGAGCCACGCGGCTGAGACCATCCACGTCGGACTCATAACTGACCAGCGAGCGACGACGGGACTTGATACGAAAACGAGACACGCGAAGCGTGCCCAAGCCCTTCCGCTCTAAACGACGGGCCGTAGCACAGTGGGAAGCTCGACAATACTTTTTGGATTGAATTTGGATTTTTCTCTTTTCGCGCCGTGCCCGCGCGCGCATTCAGCGACGCGCGAAAGCCCCCGACTTACTTCATCGGACCAACACGGGGGATTTCAGTTCCGTCTGTGTCCCCACACTCAATTTCCAAAAATCCTTGGCACACCCATGCCTGCCTCCGAACGAAAGACAGCACAGGGCGTGAGGTTGCGCGTCACAGGCATGCCATGGACTCCGGGAAAAACGGAGGAGGCCGAAAGAAAAACAGAAAGGGGCCCCACCATGGGCAATCGAAGAGGGTTATTCTTTGGGCCCCAAGTTCCCGTGCGACGAGGCTCGTTCGATTCCGCTTCCACCAGGTCTGGGTCATGGCTAGCCCTGGTGCCTGTCACTACTGTTCGGTCCAAGTTCCCCTCGATACCAAGTAGGGGTAATGGTCCTGAGTGCTGGTCACACTGAGGTAGGATAGTAGAGATAGGGGGCGCGCTAGGAGTATTGACGTGAGGATGGGATGGGTAGGTAGCCTCGTTCCCTCAGGACGACCATGGCTGACCGCTCCTGGCGATCAATGTGTGCCTAGTAACCGGCCTCTACAATACCCTGGGCTTTTGAAAAAAAAAGAAAAAAAAAAAGAGAGTGCCCTGCTCTGGCGGGCGTCGGGGACATGGTGGGCGGCCGTACGGATCCCAAGAAAGGGGGGAGGCGGGTTGGGTTGCAGAAGCGACGCAGGGTTGGGAGGCAGGCATGGTGTATTTCCACATGCTAATGCTTCCGCACGACCCCACTTGCACGATCATGACCAGCGAAGTGATGCCAGCGTCATCCTGGCAAGAAGGTCAGTCATCCTTCTTTCTCGTGCATCGTCCTATTGGGCATTTCCTCTTTTTTCTCCTCTTTTCTTCTCTGCGTCCTGCTGTCTTTCTTCCTGACCTCCTCTTTCTGTATTGTTTCTCGTTCTGGATTCTCCTACCTCGTGCACTACCTTTGACTATTCTCCTCCTCCTCCGCTTCTTCCTCTTCCTCTTTTCTACCGATCGTGTACGCTGCCGGCTCTTTGCCTTTCGTCATTTTGTTCTCGTATGCACATGCCGATGTATGTCTGTACGCGAAGAAAGCGAGAGAGAGAGAGAGAGAGAGAGAGAGAGAGAGAGAGAGAGAGAGAGAGAGAGAGAGAGAGGTGGTCGCAACCATGTGGTCATCTTGTCATTGTTCGGCGTCGCCGTGTTCTTGTTCTTCGTTTTCGGGGGCAAGAGAGAGAGNGTTTTCGGGGGCAAGAGAGAGAGAGAGAGAGAGAGAGAGAGAGAGAGAGAGAGAGAGAGAGAGAGAGAGAGAGAGGTGGCGTGCTCAGTGTCAGGTGGCACGTTGTTGTGTGTCACGTTTGTTCTGTTTTCTCCTTCTGTTTCGTGGTGATTGTAATCGTGGTTGTCATCATGCTCGTTCTTGGGTGGGCAGAAGGGAGGGAGATAGGGGTAGGGAATGCCACCCACGACTAGTGTCTAGCGGCACGCTTGTTTGGCCCATCCATCGTCTTTGTCGTTGTCCTTTTACTGTCCCTCTTCTCCTTTGCCGTCTCGTCTTTTCCATCGTTTCCATGGCCATTGTAGTAGTCCTCTCCTTGTCGACACTTTATTGCCTTCTGTTGGCGTTCTCTCCCTTAGCGTACTCAGCGAGTGAATTTTTTTCCTTAACGTATTGACGGAGATTAAGTTCGTCACCCGACACAAAAAAGGGAAGAAAGAGTAGGTTCCCTGTTGATTGATGAAGGCGGCAATGGTTGACAGGGGATAGAACCCTGTAGGGCAAAAATGCTTAGGTCTCTTCGTTTTTTAGTAACGAGGGGGACAATATCCCCCCATCTCTTTTTCAGTTTCTGATAGATCAGCTCATCGGGGGAGACATGTTGAACATACAGTAAAATGGGGAAAACGGTAGTACCAGAATTGTCGGGCCATTTCGCACTCCGTTGGCGCCAATCAAACGACGTTTTTGCTGCTGCTGATCCGGGGAAATAGTTTGTTTTTTTTGTTCTTCTGAGGAGAGAAAATTCAACGGGAGGGCTTTCCGATTGTGGGCTCAGTTTGGTAGAGACTCTTTTTTTTGTTTTCTTTTCTTTTGGTTAATTTTGGTCGACTCTTGGTGCATGCTAGCGGAGCTCCTTTGGCTGACGTGAAACCGGGAAACGCTAAGATCCGAATTTGAACAAGGCCTTCCCGCCGCCCCCCCGCCCCCCCTCCACCCACGCAAAAAAAGAAAAGATATGAACAAGGGGTTTTTGCCTCCTTGTGTGTACATCGATGTAGGGCCTCGCTCCACTATCTCCAAATGTGCAAAATGAAAATGAATCTTCCGCTAGAACATGGAATGATACACCGCCACATTTTGTCTTTTGTGCAAGGGGAGAGTAGTGGGGGGAGGCCCGTACGTATGCGCTTATGGCGCCCACATGGAAACGCCCTCCTGCGTGAATGGGAAGTTCCTTCCTTGCTCCCCCCTGTGCCGGTCCCTTTTTTTTTTTTTTTTTTTCCTAAAGAAACCTGTCCCCCTCAACGACCGTGTATGTGAAGGAACCTGTGCACTACGGACAGGGCAGAGCACTTTTTTGGGAGCCCTATATTGAAGAAATCAGCGGTCGGGAAAAAAAAAAAAGCGCAAAGCACTTTAAATCAACCGTGTCCTCCTGCTTACGATAAGAGATGGTGATTTTTTAATATATTTAAAAAAAAAAATGATGTATCCGTACGATCATCCACGGAAACCTTGCTACAAATTCTCCTTCCTCTAGATGATAAGGTTCGGTGCGGCAAATTGCCTTGACCACAGCGATCCAGAGACACCACCGGACCATTCAATCGGTAGGAGCGACGGGCGGTGTGTACAAAGGGCAGGGACCCAACCAGCGTAGCTGATGACTCACTCTTACTACGGTAGGCTTTCCTTCCTTCCTTCCTTCTTTCCTTCCTGATTGACTGACAATCGTGACCGACAATGCCATTAGCATCATCACCGTCCTCGTTGTCATCATCGCCATCACCCTCATCTTACCGATCGTCAGCGTCATCATCATCAAATTCGTGATCAGCGCTTATCGTCGCCGTCGTCATTATCATCATCATCAGCATTAGCATCAGCATTTGCATCATCATCATCATCATCATCATCATCATCACTAGCATCAGCATTTGCATCATCATCATCATCATCATCGACGAACAAGATAGTTATCGTCATCATCATCGTCGTCGTCGTCATCATCATCATGGTCATCATCATCATTATCATCGTCATCATCAAGAGAGATTCCTATCATCATCGTCATCGTCATCATTAGCGAGATTGTTATGTGCAGTCATCATCATCTCTATTGGGATCATCACCAATGTCATTATCATCATCATCATCGTCATGAATGAGCGAGATTGTTATGATCAGTCATCATCTCTATTGGGATCATCACCAATGACTGCCATCAACTGTCGTCACCTCATCATCATTGTCATCATCATTGTCTTCAGCGTATCATCATTATCATGATCGTAAAGTACACCATGATGAAGAAAGAGGACATGGTACCCGAGTGAGCACCATTGCTCGTTACCGGTAGCGATTATTGGTTATATTATCTTTAGCCAGGCGGGCTGGGTACTACCTTATCGTTATTGTATCCGATCCTGTAGGATATGAACTGTTGTTCTGTTTATATATTAACTTTTACAGGTCTTTTTCTGTGTAGTCCATCGATTTAGACTCCTCGTCCGCTGATGTGTAGCGATCAGCGCCTTCCCTTGTTTCGTATATCCCTTATATACACACACACACACACGCCCGCCTTCTCCCAGTGCCGCGGGTTGCCTGCCCCGTGTAGCTGAGCCGCGGAAGCAGGGGCGGCGGGAGTAGAGGAGGAGGAGCCGGAGGAACAGGAGGGGTAGGAGGAGAAGGAAAACGATTTGAGGAGCGATGGGGGCGAGAGGTGGGGAGGAGCAGCAGCAGGAAAGAGAGGGTGGAAGGAAGCAGGAGCAGGAGGTAAGAGAGCAGGGGGGGAGGGAGGTCCACCAGAGGAAGTGGAGAAAAGTAGGAGGAGGAGAATGTGAAAGGAGGACAATGGAATGAAGGCGAAGAGATTGATTGAAGGTGGAGGAGGGGTTGATAGAATAAGAGATAGTCACGAGGAGGAGGGCGAGGAGGAGGAGATATGGTGACTTGGAGAGGGGGGAAGCGAAGAAAGGAGGTAAAGTATGGATGAAAAAGCTCAAGAAACTGTGGGGAGAAGGAGAAAGAGACGCGAGGAGAGGGAAGGGGGGAGGGGAGAAGGGGGGTGTCGAAGGAGGAGGTTAGGGGCTGAATGGCACACATTGTCAATAAACAAGTTATGGGTTCGAATACCGAATGAATCAGAAGGATACCATAAGGTTAGGGGCTATCACCTTTCAGAAACGAAAACAAAAACAGAAAAGCAAACGAGGAGAAGGAAGAAGACAGTAGTAGGTCTGTTTTTTTGCGATGGCAAATAGAAGAAAAAGAAGGATGAAAAACGTGGAGGAGAAAAAGAAGGTAGCAGTAGGAAGAAGAAGAAGAAGAGGTGAAAACGACCTGAGGATCAAGGAGATACGAGAGAGGGGGGGGCATGTTAAGATGAAGAAGAAGAGGAGGAGGGGGAGAGGAGGAGGAGGAGGAGGAGGAGAGGAGGAGGGGAGGAGGAGGAGAAGGAGGAGAGGAGGAGGAGTAGAAGGCACTCGCTGTATTTGCTAGGACAGAATAGAAGAAAGGAGTATGAAAGAGGGAATGGGAGAAGAGTGGGGAAAAGGAGGGGGTGTCAGTGCCGTAGGGAGATGGACAAGCCAGTCCAGATGGAGAGAGAAGTCTAGATTTTCAGTTCTGCTACTGGAACAGCAGGACTCTACCGTTGCCCCCCGAATAGAACACACACACGGATTTACAATACTGTATTACATCGACATGACCCTATTCGTCCCACTAGTAGGTCCAGACCATCGCAGATCACCCTCTCCTTCTCTTTTTCTGTCTAAAGAGTTTTCGGCTGCCATTTGTACGCGTCCTGGAATGCTGCAACCGTTCCCAGTTCCCACAGGCCTTTCAAATAAATAAAAATGAGCAGTAAATCCCATCATCCCGCGGCCCCCCCTGACCAAAAGGGTAGCGTGCACAAAATCCGGCTTTTTGTTTTTTAGAAGATTCCCCGCACTGATGACCTTGATGGTTGATTGATCCTTGTGGCAGGGAAGGAGTGCGAGGGCTTCCGGATGGCTGATTGATCTGATGAGAGGAGGGGAGCTCATCAAAACGGTTAGCTCCACTGTTTCGACTTCGAGGAAGGGTGGGCATGCATGCATGCATGCAAAGGAGTGAATGACTAATCTGTCCTGCCGTCTTCTTGTTTGTTCCCTGCCGTCTTCTTGTGTGTTCGGGAATCGTGACACTGCTCTCTTCTCTTTCGTGAACAGACAGACAGGGTTCTGGCCACAGTCTCTAGACAGACAGGGTTCTTTCCACAGTCTCTAGACAGACAGGTTCTGCCTATAGTCTGTCTCCGTCTGCCTTTCTGTCTGTCTCTTGCCCGTATCCATTCTTGTGCGCATCACCTCTGCTGACCTGCTTGTTTTTGTCACAACCCGCAAAGAAATTCTTGGGGAGAGAAAGGGGGGAGCCTTTGGCTGCAGCAGGAGAAGGGTGATGGCAGCCTCTGTCTGGATCGCACAGTTCAATGCAATTCGCATATGTTTTTCTTTCAAATCTCTGCCGTCAAATCGATTGGATTGATCAGATCGCATCCGTCAGCGGATTGATCGAATCAGGTCCGTGAGATCAGTCGGATCGTCCGGGTTGTAAATCGACTTGTCCGGCCGTAAATGTGGTTAGATACATTTGAGATACAGTGCTGGTGTGATTACGCCGTCAATCGTGTTCAGTCCTGGTGGCGCTGACAACAGCCTGTGCATGTATGAGAGCCTCTCCCTCTAGAGTTGTGGAAAGAAGGTCGGGACAAGAAGTCGGGGCGAGAAATAGAAAGTTGCAGAAGGTCAGAAAGGAAGGGAGGAGGAGGAAGAAGTCGCAAGGAACGGAGGGGCGGGGGGGGGAGAAAGGAGGGGGTGAGAAAAGGGGGGGAGCGGGGACGGCGGGGAATGAAGAGGAGGTAGGTAGGGAGGAGGAGCTGTGAGGATGGTTGACGTCGAGTTTTCTTAATTGACGACTTATTCGAGATCTGTCCGAAGGTTCACTCTACGCAAACCGGAAATCGATTGTCGTTGTTGTAGTTAAGAGTGTGAGGGCACGCTACTCAACAGTAAGACTTTCAGTTATTTGCAGACGTGATTGCGGTCAGATACATCCAGGTCCGACCGTAATGCGGTCAGATACATCTAAAAGATTAGAGCTAGTGTGAGTACGCCCGGAGGTACGCCACAGCGTGAGCTTCTTTCACGCAGTTTGTGCTCTTTTTTTTTTTTTTCCTGACATGGCGACACGGAACAGGACTCACACGTTTTTGAAATTTCGAAAGGCTATAGAACATCAGTATGAGGGGGAGAAGAAGTTGGGGAGAAAGGGAGGAGGAGGAGGAACGGGGAGGAAGAGGAAGCAGCAACAACGTGTGGCTCCGATGATTACAGACGAAGAAGGAGGAGGAGGAGGGGGAGGGGATGGGAATGAAGGTAGCCGTCCGATGGAGGACGGCGATGGAATAGGAACTGTGATGGTGTCATCTGGAGGGGGGGGGTTATTTAACGGCAACAAGGGGGGGGCAGGCTATGGTGCAGTGAGCACCATAGATATTGACGACGAGGCGGGGATGGCCGGAGGGAGGTATTCTCATGATGAGAATGTAGAAGGAGAAGGTGAGGGGGGAGGAGGAGGAGGAGGAGGTGATTGCACACCTTCATGGGTGGCCATCTCCCAAGGAGTGGCGGCTGACACTGAGGCCATTCGCGTGAAGATGGCAGAGTTGGTGAAGAGTCATTCACACGCATTGATGCCAAGCTTTGACGATTCAAATGCTTACCAAGCACGGATCGAAGAGTTGACCGGAGAGATCACGCAATTGATAAGAGAAGGGGAGAAGAAAGTCAAAGGCTTGACCAAACATGAGGACCGAAGGGGTGGGAGGGATGATGGTGGTTGGTCTTCTTCTTCTTCTTCGACGTCCAGGTCGGAGAAGATGCTGATCCAGAACGCGCAGAGGTCGGCGGCGATGGATTTGCAAGAACTTTCGGTGTTGTTTCGCAAGAAACAGAAGGACTACATTCAACGTCTCCGTCTGCAGGAGGAGCAGGCGGTGGCTAGTGTCACCACCAGCTTGGGATGGCTTTCCGCTGCCAACTCCAATAGCAGCAGCAGCGGCGTAGGAGGAGGAGGAGGAGGAGGAGGAGGGGCGGTGATGATGGACACGAAGAAGCAACAACAAAGAAGAGAACAAAAAATGCCTTTCTTCTTCCTTGGAGATCAAGATAGAGAGCAGGTGGAGGGAGGAGTGGTCGGAGGATTAGGAGGAGGGGGAAGGACTCGCAGCGGCCGGTTGATGCTGCAAGAGATGGAGTATGATGACCCTGGATTCTCGGAAATCCAAATGACAGCAGTGAAGGAGGCAGAAGGAACGGCGACGGAAAGAGAGAGAGAGATTCAACAGATCGTTGATTCGGTCAATGAATTAGCGTTGATTTTGAAAGACCTATCGGTTCTGGTGATCGATCAAGGAAGTGTGCTCGATCGCATCGACTATAACATCGAGAAATCCGCGGTAATTGCCGAGAAGAGCGTCCGTCAATTGCAACGATCGGAGGTATTGCAGAAGAAAGACCCCTTGATTGCGTGTATCATGATTTTCTTCGTCTTATGCGTCATCGCACTAATACTGCTCGTGTTCAAGAAGACATTATTTGGCGGCGGCGGGGGGAGAAGAAGGAAGTAGCAGCAGCCAATCAACGCTAGCATGCAGCTGTCGATGCTTTTTTTTTAACCACCCACTGAGGATGGCTGGAAATGACTGATCTACGTCATCTGCTTGTGGTCGTTGTTCTGAAGGTCAGAGTCGGCGTACTGACACTGCTTGTCTTCCTAGAGCTCGGAGATGGTTATTAGCGGTGGGGTGATGTTGGAAGGAAGGATGATGTGGCTTTTTTCCTTACTGCCAGCATATCAGGGTCTTTGGACCTCCAAAGACCCTGATATGCTGGCAGTAAGGAAAAAAGCCACATCATCTTTCCTTCGAACATCACCCCACCGCTAATAACCATCTCCGAGCCCGAAGCAGGCAATCGAACCCTCGCTCAGCAATTGGCTTTCCGCGTCATCATCTTTTTCCTTCCTCTCCTCTTCCTGTTGTCTTCGTCATTTGGCCCTGCCCTTTCGTTCGCGAGAGAAGGCCACGTGGACTTCTCTCGTGTGTGAGTACTGTTAGGCCACGTGGACTTCCTCTCATGTGTGAGTACTGTTACGTTATCTCGTCATTTCGTCGACTCGTCCAACGTGGCATATGATCCTACTCCTTTGTCTGTCGACCATATCCAGATCTCGATGCTGTCGCAATCTCTTCCTCCTTTTGCCCCTGGTTCGTTTCAGAAAGGAGGAAGAGAAGCTCTCAATGGAAAAGAGGTTGAAAGTGCTTTGTGTTTTCACACCGGGATCTTCCATTTGCCTGCCATCTCATCCATCTCTCGGTCATCCCGCAAACGTTGAGACTGTCAAGGAAGGGGCATGGTCATTGAACGGCAACGGTGGTCATTGATTGACAGCAATTGCGCGGGGGTGATCATCTGCGTTCCTGGGTCCAGGCTCGACGTAGTGTTGGAATCGCAGGCGAAGATGGAGTTGGGACAGAGATGGAGATGGAGACAAGTCAGAAAGAAGACGAAGGACGGCAACGGCGACGACGACGACGACGAAGAGGAAGAATGAGGAGGAGGGGCTTGGTGGGAGGGGTGGATTTGCACGATGTATGGAGAACTGTATGGTCACGCCATTGATCGAATGATGGATTTTGTTCATCTGGTTGCATCTGGATTCGACGTCAGGTCTGTATTTCAACAGTTCAAGGGTGTGCCGACTGAGGTAGGCCAATTGGTAAAGGACAGATTATCCGAATGGTTGCCGTCGTCGTTTGCTCTGTGGGGATCATCCGGCACAGCGACTGCTGTGAAACTGCTGCCTATGGCCGAAGGGCGAAGAGCGAAGAAGCGGAGACGTGCGCACCTATGGCGATGTTAATAATGTAATCGTCGCTACAGCTGTGAAACTGCTGTCTATGGGCGAAGGGCGAAGAAGCGGAGACGTGCGCACCTATGGCAATGTTAATAATGTAGTGGTCGCTACAGCTATTGCCCCAGGCCCCGGTCCTCCTCCTCCTCCTCGTCTCCGTCCTGTTCGGCCACGTTTATGTACATGGTGGCACATTTGGGAGCACCACCCTCATGGAAATCATTTTTGTCTCTCCCTTGCTTCCTCCCTCTTGTCTCTGAGCGGTCGCATAGCAAACAGCATTGATCAATTTGGCACGGCCTGCCGTGGTATAGACCGTGAGCCACGTGGCCTTCTCTCGCGGACATAAGAGCAGGGTATTGTGAAATTTCATGTCCTGGCTCCTGTCGTCGCTAGAGAAAGTGGCCCATGACACAAATCCATGTAAGATACACAGGAGCCGCGCATGTAAAACTGGTCCGTTTCCAACAAATGGGCGGAAGCACACACAGAGAGAGAGAGAGAGAGAGAGAGAGAGAGAGAGAGAGCCGCGCATGTAAAACTGGTCCGTTTCCAACAAATGGGCGGAAGCACAGAGAGAGAGAGAGAGAGAGAGAGAGAGAGAGAGAGAGAGAGAGAGAGAGAGAGAGAGAGAGAGATTCTAGCATGGCATGGC